CGCAGGGAGAAAAAGTGTCATTTTCCCTTATAAAATTTATAAAACAAAATTAAATGTAACAATCTTTCAACAAATTTTTTAAAAAAAGTTGTAACAGCCAAAATTTAACAAAATTGTTTTTCTTTACGGAATTCAGCCAAAATGTAACATTTAAAAAAAAAAATCGAATTTGGCTGTTGCATTGCATCGGCCAAAGAAAATAAAAAATAAACATAGTATCATTTCAGTTGGTGATCATCTGAAACGTCCAAGCGAGCGCGTGTAACACACACGCCTGCTGGTAGGCCAGTGAGACGCGTCTCATTGCCTTTTTTTTTTTTTTTTTTTTTTCAAGTCTACAAAATTTTCACATTTGTTAAAATCTTCAACATGTAATTTTTACTGTTCTAAAATCCATTGAAGATCCCCTTTTGGGGATGCTCTAACATTTGATATGACATTGCATGTTGGATTTTTCCTTCCGAGTTAAGATGCGGTTAGTGCGGCTGCACCAATAATAGTTATACAAATATACATCATCCATTTTAAGAAATGCACAACAAAAAACATGCACAAATTAGGTACACATCACAAAAAATGCATCATTAGGTATGAATAAAATCATTACACAGTGCTCGAAAATACACCATTAGGGGTGAGGAATTATATTGTGCATTTTTTTTTTGGGTGTGTTGTATGTTTTTTTGGTGTATTTATGCATTTCATTGTTGTGTTTTTACCTAACACTATTGGTGCCTTTTGTTAACACTGTTGGTGTATTTTGTCCAAATGACCGCACGGCCGCATTTAAACAAAAGTATATATATATATATATATATATATATATATATATATATATATATATATATATAAGATATTAATTTCCTTTAAGGTATATCACTCTCCCTCATCTCCCATTAATGAAGGTTTCAACTGTTATACGTGTAGATGGAGACTCCATGATAGTTAATTGTCGAAGTAGTTAATAACCACCCGTCTCCTTAAAAGCCAAATAAATTTTGCATTAACACTTTTGACTAATAATACATATTATGATCTCGTTAGATGTCGGACTGCATATTTAATGTTGCAAGTCATGACTCAAACAATTTCTATGGATGAAAATTATTTTCACGGATTAAATTAATTGTTGTAGGGGACCAAATTTTAATTTACACTAGTATATTATATTATGTAATCTAAAATAATCATGTTAAACTAAAAATAATATTATATAGAAGTGATAGGGACCAACTATTAATTTACACTAGTATATTCTAATGCCTGATCTAAATCAATGATATTAAACTAAATATATTATTATATTATAATTATTATAAATGTATTGACGGCCGTCTGAAAGGGCGCCAAATTTAAGCTTTAGTCTGAAAGGGCATGGGTTGAAATCCCACAGCCGTCTCAACCTCACAATAAAAATTCAAAAAACCATTTCTTCAGCTATTGCAATTTTGAATATGTTATGTGAACATTTAAGGTGATTTGGATTTTTTTGAAAACTAAAAGTAACAAAAATCAATAATACGAGGACTAAAAATATATTAACTCTATTTATAAATTTGTATGAATTATTTAAATAATTCTTTCAAAAGGTTGAACCCCAACCCTAAATAATTAAACATGCAATATGTTGCTAATGATCTTGTAGTCAAATTATATGAAGTGACTTTCTCAAATATTTCAGTGCAATTAGTAGTACTAAAAAATAAATTATGCAATATATTTGTATGTATAATATTATAATATTTTATCGAGGGAAAATGGCACTTTTACCCCCTGTGTTATATGCTTATAGCACTTTTTCTCCTTGAGTTATTCATGCATTTACATTTGCCCCCTCAATTATTATAAAAGTGGCGATTTTTTCTACTGATAATATTAAATGGACATTTCTACCCTTAAAACAAATATTTTATTTATTTCTCTTCTTCACCAAATTATTGCTTATACGTAGGGATGACCACGGTTCGGTTCGAACTGAACCAAACACTATAGCAATCAAATTAAAAAATTTCGGTTATGATTCATAACATAACCCAATATTTGGGTTTCCGTTTATTAAAATCGTAAACTGGAAAAAAAATGGATCCTGAACCGTGAACCGGAGGTTCAAATCGGAACAACTACTAGCAATAGCTTAAATTAGAATTATAATATTTGCAAATAGTGTATGTTTTTTTCCGCATTTATATTGACTCTCACATATAAGTATATATAATCGCGATTTGAGTTTTATTTTGAACCGTCGGTTCACGATTTTGGATCCAATTTGAACGGTTGGTTTAAACTTTATTTTAAAATTTTATTTTTTTATTTTTAAAATATTCTAAATTTAACACTTAATGTATTTTATTTTTTCAAATCGTGGTTATAATTTGTTGGAGAATAAAAATAAATGAAATATTTATTTTAAAGGTAAATATGTCCATTTAATATATCAGGGGAAAAAACTGTCACTTAAATAATTTAAGGAAAAAAAGTGCTATAAGTATATAACAAAGGGGGACAAAGTGCCATTTTCCCTTTTATCGATTATTTGTTTTTATTGGTGGATAAAGATTGCTTAACTTCTATTACCCACTTGCCCACTTCTTATCACATTGATTTTTAAATTCCCAAACTGGAAGTGCCAAGCTACATGTTACGGGGTGACGGACTGACGGTAGAGGTTGGTTGTTTATTTTAAATTGGTTATATTATTCATTATTTTAATTGTTTGATAAGTTATTTTTAAGGCATAACTTCATTTATATAAGTTTTAACATGTGGCGATAAACATATTGATAGTGATTTAAGAATATGCAACATAAAAAAAATTAATACATTCAATATTAAATGTTTATTTAAAATGTTATATATATTTATCGACTTTCTATCAATATTTCAAATATAATTTCATAAATAATTATATTTTGATATAATTTTTTATAATAAATCAAAACACGTAGTTAGTCCAAAATAAAATTGAGTCACACTTATGTGGGACGTGTCAAATCTATGATAATTGTTTGTTACTTATAATAAAAATCATAATACTTATTACATAAAATTCAATACAAATTTGAAATAAATAAACGGTTACTTATAATAGATATTGTAATATTTATATGGCCACAAGCTATTGGAGTCGTTGTCCTGCTCCAAGAAGTTTTTATGTTTGTAGACCATTCACCATTACTTGATTTGGTGAGGATTAACTGAGAGGTGGGGAATTCAAGACAGCCCGATGGTATGTGGAAGCTTGTGTTCTCGTACATGCTGTGGAATATCTGAAAGACGCGTAACGAACATGTCTTTAATAAAGTGCTTGTGATGACTAACGAAGTGGGTGAGACAATCACTTAAGGACGCTTCGGGAAGTCAACAATTATTCTTCAAACACAACAACATCTCGTTTGGTAGACAAGTCTGGATTAATTGGACCTCTCTGGCAGACAGATTTGTCAAACTCAATACAGATAAAACGAGCTCAGATATGACAAGCACAAGCGGTGTCATTCGGGACCGCATGGGCACTTGGACATTGGGGTTCACGACCAAGGTTAGTATCATAAACAATTTTATATCTACATCTACATCTACAATTCTAATAAGAGCCAATAATGGTAGACCCTTAACTGGAACAAAAAAATGTCGGTCCTATTGTTTCTTAAAATGAATGATTCATATTATACTATTGTTTATTAAAATGAATGGTTCATATTATTTTTATTTTAGTATTTGTTATTGATTTTCCTTATTTACCCTCTATTATATTATTTTCTTCCCTTAAATAACCTAAATTCTGTTAGCATAAACTTTAGTAACGGAATATTCCGTTAAGTATTTATTATTTTAACTTACACATTAATTTCTATAAGAAAAGTCTTAGTTTCGAACCACATCTCAATTAGAGTTGGCATAATTGTTAAACATATACTACGAATATGTTAAAATATATTTAAAATATATATAATATAAAATTTAACATCAACTTTGTTCAAATAATTAGTCTGACTAAATACATAACATTCAAAGTTAAGCATCAAAGATTATAAATCAAGAACTTTAAAAATCATTTGATCAAAAAAAAACTTAATATTCTTTTGATTATTTAGATCAGAAAAAAACTTAATATTTCAATTATACTTTTGCATTAATATTTTTTGTATATATATATATATATATATATATATATATATATATATATTTTAAATCAATGATTGCATTATTGTTGATGAAAAGTATATACGCCACTTTATTACTCTTATTAAACTAAATAAAGTAGTAGCTACAATAAAAAATAATACATATACATTTAATTAATTTAGAATTAGATGTCTATAATGTCTTTATTTAAAAAAAAACTATTCATTATAAAAATTTTAAAAATGATATAATTTCATTAGTTATATTATCTTTATTTTCTACAATTCAAAGATTCATTACCTTCAAATTTATCAATTTATTATATTCACTGCATTGTCCATTGTCTTCTTTTTACATTATCTTGTAATTAAATATCAAAGTTATAATACAAAATACATTATATATATTTATTTACCAAGTATTTTATACAAATATAATAAATATTAATATTTTGTTCAATACTTTCACATGATAACCTACGACACACATCTCACAATGCATGAAACATGTAGAGAAAAAATACCACTTCCAAATATCGATTAGAAAAATTCAATAAATATTATCTTGCATTTATATATTTTAAATTACCGATTTAAATAAACAAATTCAATATTTATTTACACATGCATGAACATCTCCAATATAATATTGCGTTGATATACTTTGAAATACTTATTTAAAAATAATCATTAGGCATTATCTCATTCGCGCAAAGCCCGTTAAAAAACTAGTTATCTTATAAAGTGTAAATCTATATTATGTTTGTCAAGACTGGATCCTATGCCCTTGTTCTAATTCTGAATGGAGCCCTTGCCATAGTCAAAGACCATAGTTTGGAATTGGAGTCATAAAGCCGGAGCTGGTTGGGAAACCAGGGAAGACGCCCCCACACAACCCAGCCGACGTTTCCTCTAATCCAAACGCTACAAATTCAAAGCAAGAACTGTACTCTTCCCTCTAGCTTCCCCGTACGAAAATCACAACACAGTACCAGGGAAAATGATATAAAAGGTTGATCGAGGCGAGACTAGCCCGCCATTTATGCTGCTTCTTTTAACCTCTTCTGTCGCTCTCAACATCTTTTAACCTTCATCCAATCATCCGTGATATACGGACAGCAACTAGGAAGAAACCTTAGCTCTCCGCCTTCGCATTCACACATCTCCCTCCAAAGCTCTGCTATCGGCCACCTACTCCTTTTCTCTTCACTTGGAGGTTTTTCTTGAACCATAGCTCTATTTTAGTTTCATTTTCTTTCTCTTTTGTTCTCTCCCTATCTCTCTTTTTATGGTTTTAAAAAGTCAAGATTCTAGTGGGAACTGGGCAGAACTTTATCTCGGTGTTGGTGAATCAAGGCAAATGCTTTTTGTGAAAAACAAGGAAAAGTTCATATATTTTTCCCTTGAAAATTCTGGGTTTTCTTCTTCGAGATCTGTTATTCTACCTTGTGTATGGTTTGCAGAGAATAGAAGTTTGGGACTAAGGGCTGGTGGTCTCTCATGATGGGGATTTGCTTGAGTGTCAGAATCAAAGCTGAAAGCCCACATCCAGGTTCTGTGAGGGATGTTTAGAATCAAAATTGGTTCCTTTTATCCTTTCTCATCTTTGTTTTGTTATCTTTTGATTTGACCAGGTTTAAGTTCAAAATGTGTTATTAGCACAGATGGGAGTGGCCTGGGCAAATCAGACAGCAAGAACTCTCCCCCACAAACCCCTAAATCAGAGGGTGAGATCTTGCAGTCCCCCAATTTGAAAAGCTTTACTTTTGCTGATCTCAAAATGGCCACCAGAGACTTTCGTCTTGACAGTGTGCTTGGAGAAGGTGGCTTTGGCCCTGTGTTCAAAGGTTGGATTGACAAGAACTCACTTAGCCCAACCAAGCCGGGAACTGGCTTAGTGATTGCTGTGAAGAGGCTAAACCATGGCGGCCTTCAGGGCCATAGCGAATGGCTGGTGAGCTTTATGGATGGAACAATTAAACATAGGTTATTGATTTCTTGATTGTGTCAAATGAAATTAGCGTTTTCAATCGTGCAGGCAGAACTGAACTATTTGGGGCAGTTCTCGCATCCTAATCTCGTAAAACTGATTGGTTATTGTTTAGAGGATGAACATCACCTTTTGGTTTATGAATGCATGCCTCGTGGTAGCTTGGATAACCATTTGTTCAGGAGTGAGTTCTTTTTGTCTCCTAACGTTGTATCTATTTTGGAACGAGTACATATTGCCTTACTTCTATACTGTTCTGTGGCAGGGGGCTCGTATTTCCAACCTTTATCCTGGAATCTCCGTTTGAAGGTTGCTCTTGGTGCTGCAAAAGGGCTTGCTTTTCTTCACTGTACCGAAGCAAAAGTTATATACCGAGATTTTAAAACTAGCAATATTTTGCTCGATTTGGTATGAACCATATTCCGAATTTCTTAGAAGTGTATTCATTAGTTTTAATAAAACAGTACAAATTCTGGGGATTTGAGGAAGCAGCACTTGCCTGTGCCATTTCTGTTAAGCATATAACCATTAATGTGCAATATAACTATCAGCTTAGGCTTTTAGTTGAGGTGGAGCACATGTTTCAATTTGGTATCAGAGCCATGCTAAAGGTCATGTGTAATTGGCCCGCACACGTGATGGGGCGTTGAGATAGAGCACATGCTTCAATTATTTCGACTTCACAAATTTTTGCATATGACATTTGCAGAACTACAATGCCAAGCTCTCTGACTTTGGGTTGGCCAAGAATGGACCAACAGGCGATAAAAGCCACGTCTCCACAAGGGTTATGGGAACTTATGGATATGCTGCTCCGGAGTACTTATCCACTGGTATGGTTTATCGGCTAATTTCGTGTTCGTTTAAGTTCAGACCAGTTTTTGTGCATTCCTAGGTTGTCCCCATTTATGTATATATAGTCCTGATTTGGTTTTTCAGTTAAAGAAGCAACCTTGAACATGCTATACAGCTATCCTATTTTTGTCTGCTTACACATGTACTTCGTTTGCATCTTGATCGGCATAGGGCATTTGTCTGCTAAGAGCGACGTTTACAGTTTTGGAGTAGTTCTTCTCGAGATGCTATCAGGGCGTAGAGTGATCGACTATAACAGACCATGTGGAGAACACAATCTGGTAGAATGGGCCAAACCTTACTTGGCTAACAAGCGTAAAGTCTTCCGCGTTTTGGACAGCCGTCTTGAAGGCCAGTACACTCTTGAGGTATCCCAGAAAGTCGCTAATCTTGCCTTGCACTGCCTGTCCAAGGATCCTAGGTTTAGGCCAACCATGGATGATGTAGTTAAGGAACTAGAGCAACTAAAGGAGTCCAAGGATATGACAACTCTCAGCAATAAACACGATGGTTCAAGACATCATAGGCGAAGCGATGGGGCGGTTGAAGAACTAGCGCAGCTCAAGGAGTCAGAGGATACGACAACCCTTGGATCAAGACGTCGTAGGCGAAGTGACGGTGATGCTATTAGTAGAAACGCGACGGCTGCTTATCCAAGACCATCAACTTCCCCTCTGTATGCCAAATAAATGAAGGATGCTTCTGATTTTTATACTTGGGGAAGTGGAGATTGACATATATATGAGATCAGTTGACTGTACAGTTAGTTATGGTTAAGTTAGTTGACATGAACTCAGTGTGAAGATAGTGTTTTCTTAGGACAAAAGCTTGTTGTAATGCGAAATTCCCTCCATCAAGATTGCCATTAAATACTATGGGTGCATTATTCTCATTTTAATTGCCCATAGAATGCGAAATTTTCTCGTCCCTAGGAGAATCAATGTATAATGTTTACAAGAAGTCTATCATAGTAAGTTAAACTATCTCACTATGACTATCATAATTTGATTTTGTATTTTTATCCATAATTTATCACCTATGAGTCAATTGGGTTAACCATGTGACGGATATATTAGGAATCGACCCGCACTGACCCGGGGGCGCGAACAAGAACGGGTCCCGGGGCGGCGCCACGTACCCGCTCCAGGCGGGGCCTCGCCACGTGGCCCCTGCACGGGCCACATCGGAGGCCGGGCCGGCCTCTCCAGGAGGCCGGGCCGACCTCTAAATGGGCTCGGCCCGAGCCCATGACGGGCTCGGCCTGCAAAAGGAGACGAGCAAGGGTTAATCCATAAGCCATATGTACAAACGACGGGCCAGCGAAGGAAAGGGGAACAAACCACGAGTAGAGGCACGCGAAGGGCCGACAGCGGACCCGGAGGACCTGGGCTCGGCAAAGACCTCGCCCGAAGAACCCGAGGATCCCGGGGACTGCTCTGGGGGCTCATCGTCCGACAACTCGATCAAGGGACGTGCATCCGACTGGGGCGTACGCAGAAGGCGCGGGCGAATACGAGGTGGTAGCGGCCCATCCGATACAAAACCCAGACTACGCATGTTCTCCGGCGTAATCATCTCGCCAATGATAATCTCTCCCCGATCGCCCCGGAAGGCATGGACGTCCCGGGCTAGAGCGGCCGTCTGTAGCGGGGTCCTGTGGCGCACAAACCTGTTGTTCCAAGATAGGAACGGCCGACGATCACCAACCGAGACGAAGACAAAGTGCGGCTTCCAATCTCTGTTGGTCTGATTGAAGTCATGGAACGTCTTCATACGCGCCCGGGCCGCTATACTCACGAACCCCTTGCTGGCCTGGCCAGAGGACGAGGTGACTTGAAACAAACTCTGGAAGAGATCCATATAGGGCTTGACACGAATGGTGTGGCAGCGAAGCAAGAAGGCAAGAAGTAAGTAATGGGCATTCGGCACCAACTGCCCGGGTGCGATGCCGTAGTGGTTGAGGAAGGATTCGACGAAGGGATGAATAGGGAAGCGAAAACCAAGGTACATGGACTGCACGTGAACCCCGAAGAAGAGGGGTGTCGGCGGCTCGGTGACATTCCCCGACGGAGAAGGCAGGCGTACCTCGCCCGCAGATCCAACATAGCTCTTGGCCTCCTCAAACTCCTGCACAGAGGTCTGAGCCAAAGTCGAGGCCGCGATGAGTGTCTCCAGAGGAGTGTACTGGACGGGATCCTCGTACGGGACCGCGAGGGGATCCTCCATGACGGGAGGATGGGCGTCCAACGGACCCTCGTATGGCATGGTGACCTCCCCAGAAGGGGAATGAGCAGGAAAAGGAGTGGGGGGGTCGCTAGTTTCGTCCATGGGAAGGACGTGAGTGTCTACGGAGTCCAAAAAATCGTCCAAGGAACCGGAAGAAGTGTACATGCACCGACTAAACCTACGAGATAAAAGAGAAGGGGTATAAGAACGGGGCGTGCTTGACACATAAAAAAAAAAAATTGTAGTCGTTAAGGACCCGGGCCCGGCCATGCCGAGGTCGAGCCGACCCCGGGGTCGGCACGGCCTCGGCGGGCGGGGTCGGCGGACCCCAGGCCGACGCCGGCGCATCCACGATGTAGCAGGTGTCAAAAAAAAAAAAAAAAAAAAAGGGAAGGCAGTTTGAGGAACCGAGGCCCTAGGCCGAGGCCAAGGTCGGCAGAACAGGCCGGCCGGCACGGCCTCGGCGAGCGGGGTCGGCACGACCCGTCGCCGGGCGGCGGCACGTCCCCGGCGGTGGGGGGGCGGCCGTTGCCGCCCTCGCCGTGGCCCAAGCCCGGGGGGTCGGCCGGGGACCACGGGGGCGCGGCCTGCGAGCCGCCCCGTGGCAGTGGCGGAACAGCGGCGTCGCGGCGGCGGCAGGGTGGTTCGAAAAAAAAAAAAGCAGTAAAAAGAAAGGGAAGAGAGGGGTGTACCACGCTTGGGCCTACGGCTCGGCGACGGGGGAAGTTGGAGAGCGGCCGGAACTTGTTGCCACGGGCTCGCCGAAATTCGATGGTGGCTCGCCGGAAGTTGCCGCCGTGGGGTGGTCGCGCCGGAATCCGGTGGAGGGTGGTGGCTCGCCGGAGCTTTGGGAGAGAGGGGTGTGATGTTGGGATGGTAAAAGTGTATAATGAGAGGGGAGAAGGGGTTTATATAGAAGAGGGGGAGATAGGAAGAGGGGGAATTTTGAAATTCAAAATGCAAAAAAGGAGGGGGAAAGATGAAAAGAGGGATGTGATTGGTGGAAAAGAGGGATGTGATTGGTTGACTTGGAGAAGATGACCAAGACCTAAGAGGACTCTACTGTGTATGTGTCCTAACAGATGAAGGAGTCATATTCCGGAGGGAATTTTTTCATCATTATCGCGAGAAGTACACTGGGACGGCAACTATAACGCGGGGACGCGGGCGTCCCGGGGTCGGCATTTTTGGAGGTCGGCCAGAGTGTCTACTCTCCTTCACTGACGATTACTCGCTGCTCGGAGAGCGGGGGACTGATGACAGATATATTAGGAATCGACCCGCACCGACCCGGGGGCGCGAACAAGAACGGGTCCCGGGGCGGCGCCACGTACCCGCCCCAGGCGGGGCCTCGCCACGTGGCCCCCGCACAGGCCACGTCGGAGGCCGGGCCGACCTCCAAATGGGCTCGGCCCGAGCCCATGACGGGCTCGGCCTGGCCCCACAGCACGGCCCGGTAGCGAGACCGGGCGCGGTCAACTCGGATCTAACCACCCCCCGCTTTAGGGGGTGGCGGTTAGGGGCGGGGGTTGTATAAAAACCCCCCACCTTGTCCAGTTAGGACACGATCTACTTTACGGACACACTTTGTACTGAAGAACTACTGTAATAGCCAGTTCTATGGCATTTAATACAATCTACGGTCTCACGGCCTTTGCTACATCATTCGTATCATTTATTTGTTATTCGTATTCTTATTCGGGTTAGTTAAGTCGGACCCCCGGTTTAATTAATTCCATCACCATGCAAACTTATTTCATTAGTACAACTACACATCTTTTTGTTGCATTTCAACGAAACAAACTTTGACTGACCAATAACATTGATGTGTGTCTTGAAGCATCCCAATAAAGTGATTTTGTTGAGGGGAATTTATTTATTTATTTCTTTTTGGGTAGGTTTTTATTTTTTAGTGATGTGAAAGAGAAACGAGATATGAGAGAAATGTTGGGGTTATGTTATTTGTTTGTTTGTTTGTTTTTTTTTTTTTTTTTTTTTTTTTTTTTTTTTTTTTTTTTGTCCCACGAAATTTCTCATATTATAAAAAGAGAAGTTAAAAGTCACATATGGGTTCATTATGGTAGTAACCAACCTACTATGCGGATGAAATAGAGAGAAAAAAATCCACCTAGAATCATGCTAGCCTCCCTTCCATTTTTATAGGTGATAGTGATGAGCAATTCGGTTTAATTTATTTTTATCAAATCGTTTGGTATACAAGAATTCATTATCGTTCGGTTCGAAAAGGAAAAGAGTGAACCGAATTGCTCATTCGTAAGAGGAATGGTAAGAGGTGAAAAATGTAAAGAAACAATCATTTTTCTTCTACTAAATGTAGATTTTTTGTCAATTTTTTTTCATAAACTCCCAACTTTTATTTCAACTCGTGTGCAAATTTGATTTGAAGAAGAAAAAAAAAACAAATAAACATCATGACACCTTTATTAAATTAAGGAGTTAATTCCCAAAATGATCATCCGACTATGACCTTTTCTCAAATTAGTTCATTGACTTTTAATTTCTCCAAAGTGGTCCTCCGGCTTTTAAATTTTAAGTCAAAATAGTCATTCGTTTGCTTTGGTGTTAAGTTGGTGTTAAAATGAACGGTAAAATTAGAAATTTAGATTTTGCACTCCAATTTAAAGCAATCTGTGATTCCTTTCAGCAGCATGCGCACATATTCCTTCAAATTAAGTTTTTGCTCTCTTAAATCTATAATCAAAATGTGGGATATTCAACTAGAAGGCCATAAATATTTGCCATGGGAAGTTTGTGGATGAAATTGAAGATGAACCTTTTTTTGTCTTCTAGTTGATTATCCCACATTTTGATTGTAGATTTAGGAGAACAAAAACATAATTTGAAGAAATATGTGCGCAGACTACTGACAAGAATCACATATTGCTTTAAATTGGAGTGCAAAACTTAAATTTTTAATTTTACCTTTCATTTTAACACTAACTTAACGCCAAAGCTAACAGATGACTATTTTAACTTAAAATTCAAAAGTAGAAAGACTACTTTAAAAGCATTAAAATTCAAGGAACTAATTTGTAAAAATGTCATAATCAAGGACCATTTTGAGAATTAACTCTTAAATTAAGCAATCAATTTCCGCGTGAAATATAAGCGCCAAATTTGGGAAGAAATTGAACAAGAGAACATTATTGTACGTTTTGTAGCCGAGGCAAGTTTCAAATGCCATACCCAAGTCGACCTGGCCGGACAATCTCTCTAGTCTCTACCTTCCTGCAAAACCCTAACCACATTCCATTTCTCGCCATTATTTTGCAGTTGTTCAAAGCTTCAACTAAGAATATACTCCGTAGAAAGCTTTGTGGCAAGAACATAAGAAGCTAGGGACTCCCAAGTCCCAACAACCGAACTGAACTTGTTACTGCTAGTACCTGTTAAAACTTTGTTCTTTACTTATTTCTGAGCAGATTTTCTATCTAAAATTCTAAATGCATGTGATTAGCTTCTATTATTTATTGTTAAACTGAACTAAAAATTCTTTGTTTCATTACAGGCAGATAATGCCTTACAGGAGAGAGTTCAAGCTGCGTGTATGTAGTAATTCAAAACTGGAAGAGTTGAAATGCAGATACTATAAGGATTTGAGAGAAGGAGAAGACAGGATCAGCGGATCAAGAAAGTATTTCCGATGTCCATATTGTCAGGGTAAGAGAGGTAAGAAGTATGATATGCAAAGGCTCCTAAAGCACTCTTATCGGATAGGTTATGCTTCAAAGTCTTCAAGTTTGAGCGATAAGGCTAGACATTTAGGGTTGCTTAAGTATTTAGAGAGGCGTAGATATGCTAAAAGTAATGCTAGGCATCCATCGCCCAGTGATCCATCTACCAATGGAGCTAATGAAGAAACTTTTGTTTGGCCTTGGATGGGAATTGTTGCTAATATTCCTGTATTATATAAGGATGGAAAATTTGTTGATGAAAGTGGTCAAAAACTGAAAATGGAGTTGGTTGCCAAAGGATATAATCCAGTGAAGGTTTATACATTGTTGGCCGACAGGGGTTTTTCAGGATATGCCATTGTTGAATTTAATTCTAACTTTTCTGGATTTGCAAATGCAATGGCATTTGCATGGGAGTTTGAACTGGATAAGCATGGTAAGCAAGAATGGTATTCGAGTTTGAAAGATGAGTCAGATGACAATCTTTATGCATGGATTGCTGGCAAGGAAGAGTACAATTCAAATAGTATCGTTGGGAATTATCTAAGGAGAAATGGAGATTTAAGAACCATTTCTGAGATCCGAAATGAGAATAGAAAAGAAAATTCCCAACTATTTTCCAACTTGATCAATGAGTTGGGGTTGAAGTACAAGGAATGTGAAGAGATGGAGAAAATGATAAGTGAAACTGAAGTTTTAATGGGCAATGTGATGAAAGAAAAAGAGGAGATGCTCTCAATGCATAATAAAGGTACATAAACTATGATTGTTTTCGTATCAACTAAATTGCATATCAACTTGTGTTTTAAGGAGATACTTGCCTGTGTTCCTTGTTTGAAATGCATATGTAACATTATAGTTCACCTATTTCTTTTTTCACTAGAGTTGGAGATGATACATCAGGAGGGATTGAAACAGGTGGAAACCATTTTGAGTGAGCAGGAGACAAGTAAACAACAATTGGATGATCATGAAAAAGAGCTGAAACTGCGAGAAGATGAAATAAGACAGCGTGAAAAACTTAATGAAAGTGAGAAAATGAAGCTTGACTGTGAGAAAGAAATGGTATGTTCCATTTTAATTGGGTTTATGAAAGAGTCATTGACTGTGGTCCTTGTAGCTGGATGCCACCTGCTAGTGAGAAAGGGGATGTGTGTGTATTAGTTTTAAAATCATGTGCAGAGTAATTTTTTTTGCAAATGAACTCCTTTTTTTAGGTGACTATGATGGAAATTCTTGTTCTTGTTATAGTTCTATTTCAGAGTAAAAAAAAAAGTCCAATAACCTAATTGAATGTATGAAAGTAGGAATTTCTGAAATGGAAAATTTTGTTTTCCTCAGAATGAGAGAGCAATTCTGGCACAAACGAAGGTTTCTGAGACAATGATGAAACTGGCTGATGAACTGAAGGTATGCTCTTCCTCTTTTGCTTCAAGACACGTACTGGAATCAAATTCAATGGAATGCTGGAAAGTTTGCAGTTATGCTAATGGCTTGCTTTTTATTTCAGAGAGAGAAGGAACAAGCCTTGGTGAAAATCTTTAGGCTTGAAAGAGAACTTGATCAGAAGCAAGCATTGGAGTTGGAGGTAGAGAAGTTAAAAGGTTTGGTCAAAGTTAGGAGACACATGATGGAAAGAGGTTTGGCAGCTAGAAACAAATGTACACCAATCTTAGAAGAGCTGATAGAAAAGCTAGATGGACATGATCATTTGGAAAACATGACTTATGAACTTACTATAAAGCATCGGCATGTCGATGATCAGGTGCAGGAGGCTCGCAAAGAGATGATAAATGTGAGCCTTCTATACGATTTCTTTTTTGCAACCTACATAATACATGATTTTTCTATAACCATATAATGGGATGGTATAATTTCCTTTTTAACTGATTGTTTTAACTGAACAATGATCAGAGTTTTGGGTGTTATTTTTCAGTAATTTAATTATGTATGATAAGTGCCTAAGTCGTTCTAAATGAAACTGATAGATACAAAGCTTATTATTCTAGGGGTATTATTATCTACTTTCCTAAAGCATTTATAACTCAAAGCATGTAGTAAAAGGTATTTCTCTGGTTCCTTATCCAATGTTATTCATTTTAAGCAGTTGATGGTTATTTATGCAAACTCTATATTAAAGTGGAGCAGTATTTCTTTGTGTAACTAGAATTGAGATCATTTATGTAGAGGGTTGAGGAGTTGGAGGCTTATACAAATTTGTTAGGTAAGGAAAGTAATCAAATAATCATTCAAGTGGCAGAATTCATGGAAACATATAATCAGAGATTGACTGATTATGTAATTCCTTGCTCATTTTATGTATAATGTAATTTGAGGTTGATTGATTATCTAATCAGTAATTGATGCTCCTTCCTTATTTTGCATATGGTAATATATTATAAATAGGGACCAAGAGGTCAGAGGGCATCCACTGGAATTAGAACAATTAGCTCTAAGTAGCTGTGACAAGAATTTATTCTTGTTGGAGCAATATTCTTAGAATTTCCTTGTTTTCTTTCATTTCTGTTTTACTTTATAATGTCATAAACTCTTAAATATCTTGGTTCAAATTCATCCTGTCTCACACAAATACAGGATGACTGGATGGTCATACAGACTCATGCCACTTTCACTGCACCTCACCTGCTCACTGGATGTGGAGGAATCATGCACAATAACAAAGGAGACTGGGTAGGAGGCTTTAGTTGCTCCATGAAGGCCAATAACGCAGCAGATGGAGAAGCATGGGCAGTGTATACTGGACTTAATTGGGCATGGAATGCTGGAAAAAGGAAAGTGTGCATTTTGAGCGATGCGAAAGAGGTCGTGCTTTGGGTGAACAAGGGTCCTATCCCGCAAGGGCCTTGCGGAAAAATTATTCAACATTGCAAGGATTTGATGATCAAGGACTGGGAAGTAATCATCGGTTATATTCCCTCCGATTTGAACACTGCGGCTGATGAGATTGCTAAACTGGCACCTAGAATAAAATGTGATTGGATTGAGTTCCGGAGTCCGCCTTTGGAAATCATGGACCAACTCGAGACCGACAGAGCCAAGATGGCGATTTGGAATGATGCGAATTGTAATATTTGAGTGTTAGTCAGGTACACCCTCCCCATCAACCAAAAAAAAAAAAAAAAGCAAAGAATTACATAATCAATTAATCCAATGATTATATGCTTCCTTGAATTCGGTCACTTAATGATTATTTGGTTACTTTCCTTTCCTGCCTGATTTGTATCAGAGGCTTTTTTCTGGATCCTTGAACCTCTGGTGCCTTATTGCTTAATTATGTGTGTTGTTTATTTGGAGTCAAATAAGCAGTCAATCAATGTTTGCTATACTTTGAAGCTATGCCGAGAAATCCAATGACTTTGGGCAGAAGATTTGAAGGCTTTCTTGGGATCCTTGTTCATTTGATGTCAAATTACTTAATTATCTGCCTTGCTTGATATCTAGACTGGAATCCAATTAAGGTTATCGAGAATGGAAGAAAAGATGTGGGTATCTTTTTGAATATTTTGTTATTCTGTCTTACTCATGCAACACCACACGCACTAGTATACACATGGACAATATTTATGGAGCCCTGGTAGGCAATACAACTCTCCCTCCTCTTTCCGATCTTGCTAGCATTGAAACATAGGGAAGAAAATGAACACGAATAAATGGATCATTTTGTAGATATGTAAATTCATTTTTCTAAACCCAAAGTAAGAAGTTCTCATTTCTTAATTTGTGTGATAATTCATATTGAACTTTCAGGTGTGGGTGATTGATGAAGAAGATGGGAAACTGGTGGTTCTGAGGAAAGAGTATGGTGATGAAGTGTATAATGCTGTGACCACTGCACTGATGGAGTTGAATGAGTACAATTCCAGCGGCAGGTGTCTAGAGGTAGAGCTGTGGAATACTAAGGAGAAAAGAAGAGCAGAACTGAAGGAAGGAGTTGAGCTAATACTAAAACAATGGCGGACGCTTAAGAACAGAGATGTGTAGTTTGTCTCAAATTTGCTCTATCCGGTGTTAATACCAGTAATAGAAGTATGTATTGGCTTTTGGTAATAGCTTATAATTATGGATTAAGAAGTTAGTGCCAAGTTTTTGCTTAGTAGTAGCAAGCTAAAATATGTGCACAACCAGAAATCAATGGTTAAGGGTTCGGTCATTGGCTTTAGGTATGGAACAACCTTAAATCTCTAGGTCAAGTGTTTCATTCAAAAGAGGAGCCTACAATTCAACAAGGGGATTAGTTACTGTGACACTGAAAATTTTGAATACACTCACAAAAAATTATAGCTACCAAGTATCATTCCTTCTGTGTGCCCACTGGAAAGTAATTGGCAAATTATCGTGTCCACCTTGCATTCTAAAATGAGTTAATCAACGATTTGGTCCCTCAATTATTGTCAAACTGTGAATGTAGTCCTCTAATTCCTTAATCATCGATTTAGTCCCCGAAAATAATTCTTTTTAGTCATTTTAGTCCCTCCGTCCGTTTTCCGGCAATACTCGGGTTAGACCTCTGATTTACCAGGGTCAATTTTGTCATTTCATTTGTTTATTCACTTCCTACTTGCTTAACCCACACTTTGAGTTCGGCATCTTTCTCTTCCATGGAATCCGCTACTCCAAGGAAAAGGTGTTCTCAGCTTGTATTCATACAGCCTCTAACTCAAGTACTTTTGGTTCTGCAGGTCACTGATGCTCCAGAAATTCATTCCAATGGTTTCCATATTAAGTTTGATATTACTGAGGGACAGATAGGTTTTGTTTTGCCAACTCTTGTTCCTCCTTGTGACATTGATTTGTATACAAGACTGGTTTATACAGATACTGAGCCCATCACTTCTAACTGCTGGAAGACATGCATTGTCCTCCCTTTTAGATCAAGCATGTTAGAAGATTCTGCTGTAAATAACATTGCATTGATGTTTTCAGATCTTCACCCATCTTTGCTGCTTTTTCTTCCCCGCCTTCAATGTATCAAGATCCGAGACATGCTCAGTAATTCATTTATTGTTATAAGGAAAGAAGTAGTCGGCGATGAGATTGTTAGAGTTTCCTGTGGTAAGGAGAAAATGGATTGGCTTGTGGTATCCCATAAATTACGGGCTGATGTAATTCGTTCTGATGTGCAAACAACAGAAATATCCATGGCTTTTACATTGCAGGAGACAGTTGATGGAAACTACAACCCATACCTGAACCAACAGCCTGTTTTTGCTTTTCTTCCTCTGAGAAAATATGGCCGCCTGAGGTTTATTATTCAGGGTGACTTTGTTTTGCCTTCATCTAGGGAAGAAGTTGATGGAGATAGCCCTTGGAATCAGTGGCTACTCTCTGAATTTCCTGACCTGTTTATTAATGCAGAAAAATCATTTTGCAATCTTCCATGCTTTAGAAATAATTTAGCAAAGGGTGTTGCAGCATATGTGAGTTTTGTTCCCCTTATAGGGGAAGTGCATGGATTTTTTTCTAGTCTTCCTTAGATGATTCTTTCTAAATTGCGGATATCCGACTGTTTGATTCTAGAGGGTGAGGAGAATGTGTGGGTTACTCCTTGCAAAGTTCTGAGAAATTGGACTGAACAGGCTCGCACTCTTTTGCTTGATAGCTTGCTTCTTGAGCATCTTGGCCTTGGTTATTTGCATAAAGATATAGTTTTATCTTATTCATTAGCAAGGGGTCTGGGCATTGAGGAATATGGACCCAAAGTTCTTATCCAGATTTTATCTTCCTTGTGTTGTATGGAGGATGGTTTGAAATCCATGGGCTTGCCTTGGCTATCAGCATGGCTAAATTCCATCTCTGGGCAAAGTTCACCTGAATCTGGGATAGGATCAGATCTCATAAAGACCCTGAGAAAAATTCGATTTATTCCTCTTTCAGATGGCACATTTAGCTCAATTGATGAAGGGGTCCTATTTGGTTGCATGGAAGAGAAAGATGCCTAACTCAAAGTGTGGGTTAAGCAAGAAGGAAGTGAATAAACAAATGAAATGATAAAATTGACCCTGGTAAATCGGAGGTCTAATCGGAGTGTTGCCGGAAAACGGACGGAGGGACTAAAATGATTAAAAAGAATTATTTTCGGGGACTAAATCGATGATTAAGGAATTAGAGGACTACATTCACAGTTTGACAATAATTGAGGGACCAAATCGTTGATTAACTCTTCTAAAATTGTTCATAATTATGTAATCGTTAGGTTGTGGAACTGTACCCACCTTGCAAGGTGGATGCTATTCTATGTTCACAATTACTAAACTATATGTTCATAATTATAAAGCTATATATTCATAATTTTTGAACTTCATATTCATAATTATTAAACTTTATATTCATAATTACAGAATTTTATGTTCATAATTACTGAACTATATGTTCATAATTATTATAAAGCTATATATTCATAATTTTTGAACTTCATATTCACAATTATTGAATCTCTATATTCATAATTACAGAACTATATGTTCATAATTATGTTCACAACTCTATGTTCATAATTATAGAACTACTATGGTCCTGTTTGGTAAAAAATTGGCCTATAGACCAATTTTGACTTATTTGACCACTATTAATTGTTTGATTTAGTTAAAATATCAATATAAATGTTTAGTTAATTAGCTTTTTGCAATTCCAAATGACTAAAATTCAAAAAGCTACTCCAAGTAACTTTTTCAATTAGCTTTTTGAGAAAAGAAATTATATCAAACAGTTATCAGCTAACAGCTAATTTACCAAACACTTTTATACAATCCATTGATGTTATCAACTATTTATATCATTTAATTAACACAATCAGCTAATAGTCATTTTACCAAACATGGCCTATATGTTCATAATTTTTGAACTATATGTTCATAATTATGTCAAATTATGTTGTGGAACCGTGTCCACCTTGCAAGGTAGACACGATTTCAAAACGGCGTCATGTCAATTAAAAAAAATTGTTTTCTTTCGCTGTTAACCGCGTTTGTCTTCAAGAAGTCTATGTTCATAATTATAGAACTCTATGTTCATAATTTCTGAACTTCATAGTCACAATTATTGAACTTTATATTCACAATTACAGAACTCTATGTTCATAATTATAGAACTCTATGTTCATAATTTTTGAACTCTAGAAGTCTATGTTCATAATTTTTGAACTCCATATTCACAATTATTGAACTCTATATTCACCAATTACAGAACTCTATCTTCATAATTATAGAACTCTATGTTCATAATTTTTGAACTCTATATTCATAATTCTTGAACTCTACATTCACAACGTCTCACTAAATTGTTTTGACTATTCAACTATAGATACTCAGGTGGTGTGCAAGACTATTCAACCAGAGTCAGTCATGGGTACGTTTGACCATATTATTAAAGAAAGTTTAAGTTCCTCCAAAGAATTTAGGTTTAAATTTATGAAACAGCGAATCAAGTTTTCCCTAGCATTACTAGGAAAATTGTTTCTATGTCTGACGGTAAGGAATATTTGACCATTGATTTTTATTGTAAACGTTTCAGCCTATGTTTAATGAATTAGCTTCTTTATTTAAAAAAAAAATAGTATTACTATAATAAAATTAGTGTCTGAAAATAAAATTTTAAAAATATATATTATTATCAAATAAAATTGTTGTATAATTAAAATGATTTTTTTTGAAAGGAATTAAAATGATATTTTAGTATTACTATAATTAAACTATTGAGTGTGTGGGTTCGAGTCTCAGTGGAGTTTGTTCTTCACTAAGTTGAGAAAATAACAGATACTTCATTGTAAATTTGTAATAGAGTCAATAGCATTAAAAAAAATAAAAATAAAAACAAAAACTATTGAGTGTGGAAAATTGACATTAAAGACTAAAGAGTAGCAAATTCCGGAAGAAATGACAGAATGTGTGTAGTTTGTCTTCTAGCAATCTAGCCAAGTCGAGGCAAGTTTTCCAATGCCATACCCAAGTCGACCTTGGACGATCTATCTTCCCTTCTGTAAAATCTCTCTACCTTCCTGCTAAACCCAAACCAGATTCCATTTCTGGCAATTTTTTTTTTTTGTTTTTGTTTTTTTTTTTGGGTTCAAACTTCAAAGCTACAACTGAGAATATAAGAAGCTAAGGACTCCCAACAACCGAACCTGTTACTGCTAAGTTCTAACTCAACACTTTATTCTTTACTTATTTCTGAGCAGATGTTTCTATCTAAAATTCTAAATGCATGTGATTATCTTCTATTATTTATTGTTAAACTGAACTAAAAATTCTTTGTTTCATTACAGGCAGACAATGCCTTACAGGAGAAAGTTCGAGCTGCGTGACTGTAGTAATTCAAAGCTGGAAGACTTGAAATGTAGATACTATAAGGATTTGAGAGATAGAGAAGACAGAATCAGGGGATCAGGAGAGTATTTCCGATGTCCATATTGTCGGGATAAGAGAGGTAAGGAGTATGATATGCAAGGGCTCCTAAGGCACTCTTATAGGATAGGTTATGCTTCAAAGTCTTCAAGTTTGAGAGAGAAGGCTAGACATTTAGGGTTGCTTAAGTATTTAGAGAGGCATAGATATGCTAAAAGTAATGCTAGGCATCCATTGCCCATTGATCCTTCTACCAATGGAGCTAATGAAGAAACTTTTGTTTGGCCTTGGATGGGAATCATTGCTAATATTCCTGTAGTATATAAGGATGGAAAATTTGTTGATAAAAGTGGTCAAAAACTGAAAATGGAGTTGGTTGCCAAAGGATATAATCCAGTGAAGGTTTATACATTGTTGACCAACAGGGGTTTTTCAGGATATGCCATTGTTGAATTTAATTGTGATTTTTCTGGATTTGCGAATGCAATGGCATTTGCATGGGAGTTTGAACTGGATAAGCATGGTAAGCAGGAATGGTATTCAAGTTTGAAAGATGAGTCAGATGACAATCTGTATGCATGGATTGCTGGCAAGGAAGAGTACGATTCAAATAGTATCCTTGGGAATTATCTAAGGAGAAATGGGGATTTAAGAACTATTTCTGAGATCCAAAATGAGAGTAGAAGAGAAAATTCCCAACTATTTTCTAACTTGATCAATGAGTTGGAGTCAAAGTACAAGGAATGTGAAGAGATGGAGAAAATGATAAGTAACACTGAAGTTGTAATGATCAATGTGATGAAAGAAAAAG